AGTGCCCCTACTAGTTATACTATGGTTATACTGTGTCGCAACTGTGCGCGGCGGTTCGTCGTGTCGCGTCGCGCTCGGGAGTGCCGTTTAGATTATCGTATTGAAAACTTTGAAAGCCCATTTGAACTTGAGCTTAATAAACGGGAGTGCATTGTATCGCGCGAAAAAGTGTACCTTTGTCAAGTGTACGCGAGTGTTGATGGAGTCTCGTGGGACGAGAGGATAATCTGAGAGGAGGAGCAGGTCCAGGGAAGGCATCGGGCGCCGGCGGAGCAACTTTAGGTAAATGTTTTTTATTTAGTGTAAAATAAATATGTTTCTTCCAGTTCATTTTTCAGTAGTTTTATCTCATCATTCTATAATCTCGAAATAATAATTAGAGACCGAGAAACAATTTGAAATTTCATAAAAGTTTATTCTGGTAGAGTATTTTGCGGAAAATCTTGTGTGCATTAATTATTTAAATGTTATACCAAATGAAACGTTTGATACACACAAGAATTACTTATATTATACAATATGACTTTTTTGGAACATTATTTTAATAAATTATATGTATATTTATCTGTTACAGAAGCAACGTAGTCAACTCCGCTGCTGCGCATCGGACGGTGAGTTTGAAATTTTTTTATTGTGGCAACGGATCTACTTATTGTAGATTGTAGTGCATCTTGTAGAGATCCGTTGCCGTAAAGTGGATAGAGTACAACACAAATTCAATTTTATATACATATTTCATCTACCGAAAGAGAGTGATCGCGACGAATATTATTGAAGTATTCGTCGAGCTCTCTTGTAGCCTATCCATTTTTCATTAGCAAATTTATATTTAAAGTAAAATGACGTAAGATCTTATTATTTTGTCGAAAACGCTGAAACTTAATATTATTTTTATCCATTTCTTGAGATTATTAATTAACTAGAGTATTCAATTGTCGGTCTATATTTCATACGGAAAGTTTCTTTCCTCTGGATCTTACGTCATTTATTTGGTACATTTTGTGACAATTTCAAGATGCGTGTCGCATGAATAACATGCATAATCATACGCATCTTCATACATCCGCGATCGGTGTTCGCGTTCGAGTTTCGCGATCGGTTTTTAAAATCATTTCCATGATGTTGGTACTTTTTAATTTCCTCCATATTAGAAATGTTAATTTATCGCGGAATATAGTTAAAATTAATATTACGCGAAGTAAAATGTTTTCTGTGTATAGACTTGAATTTTGAATTCAAAGATCGAGTCACGAAGAGGCGGTCAATACTCTCGAGTACATAACGGAAGCAGAAATACATTTAATTAGTTTTATACATTAAATAAAGTTTTTTCGACTTAAAATTCTTTTTAATTAACTTCTCGTAATCGTGCATATTTTTATACAATCGACGCTCGTATATAATTTAAATCGTGCGTAACGTCTGTCGGTGACGATAACAAACCGACTATGGAAGAAGTTTTCTTCCTTTCTGATCCCTGGTCGAAATGACCAGACTGCATGGCCAGGAGCAACGAAAGGTAGGTCCAATCTGGCCCAACGAAACGGCTACTCTGATGGAGTATTTCTTTTTATTTGTCAAAATTCGGGTGGGTTAATTTTCTTTATACATATATTCTCGCATATATGTGCGAGATTGATCAGATTAAATCCTAAAATCGCGCGCGCATTATAACTCCAAATCAGACCTTTTATAAATCGCGTCGCGATTTTAACAACAGACTTGTAGGTTTATTAAATTGAAACACGGGTAGATAGAATAATAAATAGGACTATACAGCGGTATACAGATAGGTAAGGATTCGGGTAGGCAGGGACAGGAGGACATAACTCGATCATTAAAAAGATAGGTAAAATTATTACTGCAACGTACTTCTATTAAATATAACTATATTTGCCATTATTTTTAATAAATTACTTTTAATACAATATATACTTTTAATTAAAAACTCGAAGTTAATATACATATTTCTAATAAAATATGCTTTTAATAAGAAACTCTACAGGTTGATATATTATTAACTCTTGACCTGGGCCTTTGGCGATCTGTTTATTCTGTGTTTTATTTTTAAAATTAATTTTTTTATAAAAGGGAGAGAATTGTATTCAATTTATTTAAATAAAAGAAAAATAATTAAGAAAGAATTTATTAAAGATTTTATTTGATCGACACTGTTTAATAATATACTCAATTGTTTTCATTGTTGTAATGAAATATAGCAATGAAAATACACACAATTAAAGTTATAAATTTATAAGAATTATTAAATATACATATATGAAGAATATTTTATTAACACTAAAATGTTACAAATACATATACACACATATATATTACAATATTTATTAGCCATTCTTTATTATTTACTTAATTTACGAAAAGACCTTTAAGCCAATACAGCATAGATTTTACTAGTTCTGTTCCTTTATTTGCCTCATTATTTGTATTTCGTTGATATCTATACTTTCCAATATTTTCTTTAAAATTTTTAATTTCTTCGTTAGATCTATTGTCGATCAATTCCGTTGCTACGTGCTCCTTATTTTTCTCTTTGCGGAAAACTCCCTTAACATGTTCTAAAATAAAGTTATTGTGGTTTCTTTATCAATTAATAAAAATATCTGTTTGTCAATTAATTCTTATTACAAATTTTATGGTAATTACCTTGCACGATATCCGATAATTTGTCCCAATTTATTTCCTCTTTGCTTGATTCGGAAATATTAATTTCTTTAAAAGCAGGATTCGTCGTTTCTCGACCCTCTGAATTTGTTTTTTGTGCAGCGTTCGCAGCATTTTCAACATCGTTTGCAGTTTTAGCTTCGCGTAATTTTGAACCTTGACCTATTTCCGATTGAGTCACTTCTGCTCTCGCCTTTCGTTCTTCAGAATTCTTTCTCAAGTTGAACAATTGCTGAGCAATTGGAAGTATTGGAAGTAAATTCATATTTGGAGTATTCTTTTTCTTGCGAACATTTGTCAAGTCTTGAAATTTATTAATTGCGTCGCTATTTACATCCAATAATATACTATTTTTCATATCAGGATAATTATTGAGATTCTTCTCCTCGGACTGATCGTATTCAGACATTTTTTCAGATTTTATTAATGATTTATCATAGTTTTGCAGTTTGTCTTGCAATCCAATTCCATTAAATGGTATTTTTTCTTCATTGAAATCGAGCAATAGATTGTACTTTTTTGCGAAATCAATGACGGGCATCGGATTTGTTACTAAATTATCATCATTTTCCATCAATGGATGGTGCACATTTATCCTTTCTTCTTCTTCTTCTTCTTCCTCTTTTGATTTTTGTGTTCTCAAAGCATCTCTCCTTGTTATTAATGAAGTTACTAATGTGTTAAATGGCTCAACCGATTGGTAATCTCTATTAATGTTATTTACATACATATTTTCTTGATCTTGCTTTTCTGTAGTTATTGCATGAATATCTTTTGGTTGATGATTTTTTATTGATCGAACTACATATCCTTGCAGCGGCACGCAGCAGGGACATTTTCTTGTGAGAATCTGCTCGCATATTTTTTTGGCGATTGATAATGCATAAGAACCATCTTCCAATCTCTTTATCTCCAGCGGCAATTTTACGCCGTCATTGATGTAATAGAGTTGCGATCCCTGAAGTTCCGAGATATCATCGAGAGCAATTGATGAAGGAGATAGCTGAGAAGGATCGATATCGTCTCTGACAGATGATTTGGAAGAAGAAACAATTACTTCCTTCGCTTTTATGGCATTATCGGTATTATTTATCCCGTTGCTAATTAGATTGCTATTAGTATCAGTGCATGTAGTTTCAGAAGTTAATGAAGGCGAACTAATTCTCGCGCTACCGCCAGGAGATTCTGCCTTGAAGTACGTAGTTTTTGCGTAGGTTCGTTCAATCTCTGTAGTAACTTCGTGGATTTTGACAATATTATCTCCTGTAAAATTCCGCTGTGAGTTCTGTTGCGATTCTGAAAGATTTTTGCCTGTTAAAGAAATTTTAGGATTATAATCTCTATATTCTACATTTGTGGACGATATTAAATTACCAAATGTAGTAGTTGATGGATACTTTATTTCGTCATTAGCTTTTGCTATAATTTGTAAAATTGTACAATCCGACTTCTGTCCGTAATTGGGTGACGTTTCTCGTATAAAGCTTGTGGATGCTGTCGTAGTTTCAACATTTTTATCATCGACACGATTCTTCGTCGCATATTTCAAAATCTCCGGTGAATAATACCTTGTTGGTGGCGAATTAGACTTTATTCTTTCTAATATTATTAATGGATCAATCTCAGTTGAAGTGGTTGTTTTTTCATTTAGTATATGTTTTACTTCCTCCCCAGTGTCCTTAGTTTTTGCCAAATTTTCTAGAATTATGCCATCCGATACTTGTGCGTAATTAGGTGAACTTTCTTGCACAGCATTTGTGATCGTCGTTGTGTCTTTAGCACTTTCTTCATCGATGTGATGATTTTTCAAGTATTGCTCAGTTCCCGTTGAATCTGGTTCAAGAGTCGCTAATACGTTAGGATTACTTTGTGAAATAGCTTTGTGATAAATTATTTTAGGTCTCTGTGGTTCAACTAATTCCTTTTCTGTATCATCTTGCACATTCATCTTTTTTATTTGTCCAAAATCTGTGGTATTTTCCTTTATTTTAGCGTTATTTGTTGTTTCTTCTTCTTTTTCTGATTGTAATTGTAATAAGTGTGGAAATTCAGTAGTAGTCAATATATACATATTTGTGTTGTCTTCTAATGTTTTAGCTTTCTGGTTGTCTATGATATCCATTTTCTTAGTATCCGTTTTATCCTTTTTTATATCAACATTCTGTTTGTTATTCGATATTGAATTATCGACATTTAATTCTTCGTAATTACTTGTTGAAATTTCTTGCGAGAAAGCCATGTCTATACCTTGTTTATCATCGACAACTTCATTACTGTTTTCTAACGCGTTAATATCGTTTGAATTTTTTAATCCCTGGAGAACGTCATTTAGTGCAGAAATGATCGAATCGTCTATTTTATCATCTTTATTATCGTTGGTTAAATTATTTTTCACGCTTTGTACAATCATGTTCCGTACAACATACCGGTCTGTTTGCGATCTGATTGCCGGGGAACTTAGAAGATCTTTGATACTTTGCCGCAAGTTTTCCGGTGTTCCTTTCGAGAACTTGTGATTCGAAATTGGTGCTAAGGTCACTAATTCAGTCCTCCATTGTCCGTCTTTGAATTGATGCTCCTCAAGCGTCATCGGTGGGAGTTTGTGATGAAGACCAGATACAGCATTCAATATGCTGTGAAGAGTGTTTCTGATCACACCGTGTGACCAATTGTTTGTGAAATGTCTTCTCGGAATAGCTGTGACGTAAGACAACACGTCCTTTGCTTTTTCTACAATCGTATTCTCTATCTGCGGTATCGACAAGATGTTCTTCAAATTTGGGACTTGCAGGATTTCTGGCGATAAAGCTTTACCTTGCGTTTGAAGGATATTTTCATTAAAATTTTTTGTTTTGGTCAAACGAGGATCCGTTGCAAAATCATTGATGACCTTCCTGATGGAATTTAAAAGCAAGTTATCCCAAAATGGTAATCTGCTCGTTGACGAATCGATGAGCGCTCCAAGAATATTGCTATCGTCAAAGTATTGCATTGTCGTAAATTGTTCTTGAGGAACCTCTTTCGGGTGGACACTGGCTTTTGTTCCTGTTATTTCTTTTTTTGTTTCCTCTTCAAAATTACTTCCGGTTTTGGAATTAGAACTAGTAGTTGCAGTCTTTTCTTTAAAATGTTCTTGAGGAATGTTCTTTTCAGAAACCGTATTTGATTCTTTTAGATTGTTTCTATCTTGTTCTTTAGAATCATATTCGGTTTTAGAGTCGCAACTAATAACTGTCGATTTATATGAAGGCGTAGAAGAAATGACTTTGTCGCTAGAAGTTGTATTTGTTATTTTCTCATTTGGATTTAACAATAATTTGTTTGTACGACTTTTACTTTTGCCTAGCAATTTATCTTTTTTCGTCTTTGCGGGCTCATCAATTGCTGGATCCATCAATTTCTTTATTGGAGTATGCATATTTTTTACGGCATTAAATGATTTACTTTTATCATAATCGACATCTGGCTCAGAAATTTGTTTGATAGACTTTACACTTGTTGATTCAAGGAATTTATTTAAATTAACATTTGATTTGTTGATTCCATTAGTAGACGAGTCCGATGCCGAGTATGGATCAGTCGTTTTAAGTTTATCCGAGTAGTCAATATTGTTCAACGTTGTTTTTTTTCTAGCCGACATTTGTGTAACATATTCCGGAATTCTAATTGTAGAATACTCGTTTATATTATTTGCTTGCGCCTGTTTGGCAAGCATTTTTGGTGACGCCGCACTGAGCACGCACACATCGCGACCAAATAGCTGTATGCATTCTTTCATGTTTATCAATTTTCCATTGTACGTCCCGTCAGAGATAAAAGATGGTACGGTGCGAGCATAATCTGTCGAATATGTTGACTTAGAGAGATTATTATCTGGCTTTTGTTCAGTTTTTTCTATAAAATCTTCTGATTGGGGCGTAACTTCATTTAAATCAAAAGAACTTATAGTGTTATTTTCTTTAGTTACATCAGTCGAATAGTTCAAGGGTAAATTGGCTTCTGTTTTTGAATCAGCTGCATCTACATTCAGAGCTTCTGTAGTTAATTTAGGAAATTGTTCTTGATCTTCGACTTGACCAATCAGGTTACTTGTCTCAAGATCACCTGTCGTTTCCCTAACAGTCGTTGCATCAACGTTATTTGTCGAAGGTGAAGTAACTGAAGTGGAACTTTCAGCTTGATATCTTTCGGTTATAGGTGAGGATATAAAAGGTTTTTGATAAGTAATCGCGTGATTTTGGTTATTTCCGACTGGATAATTTGGTCTGCCCTCAGATGAAGTAAATGGAATCCCGATATTGATATATTTTCCTTCATTTCCAACCATGCGAGGCAATACATTTGGTATTAATTGATATAAAACTGGTACAGAGGGGATGTTCATTCTTTCTTGATAGGGTTGTATTGGAAAATAATTGAGCAGGTCGGGAAAAGACAATTCGTGAGGACTTTCATATAATATGGGCGATTTTTGTTGTAAGATATCTGATTTCGCATTTTCAGGTTTCGTTAGTTTCCGATTATTTGTCCTTTCAGGTTTGTCTTTTCTGGATGAACCTAACATTCTCGAAGGACTTTTCCTTGATGAACTAGAGAGACACTTTTCTTCTTTGCAATGGCAAATATATTTATCTGAATTACATTTTTTCCCCTTTTCTCGAGACCTTAATTTTACAATTACATCATCCGTATTTAAATTGTCTTTGAGGGCTCGCAGAAGCACTTCATCCTCGTGTATTTCAGTTATTTTTTTTGACGTTGCTGACGATTTTGCGTTTTTTACGGCGAATTTATCTGAAATTTGCTTGGGAATTCCTACGATATTTTCATCCGTGTTTCTTATTTTATCATCATCTTCCTTTCTCGATAATAGCAAAAATCTATTTTTTTTATGTTGTGTACCGCAACGTTTTGTTTTCTGAATTGTTTCCCGTGGCTTTTCATGTTCAGTTTGTGTCTGTGATAGTGGCATTAATAAAACGAGCGATCTCTTTGGATTTTCTTTCGTTAAATGTTCATCATTATATAATAATGAATAGGGTAGAACGGTTGATAATCTAAAAGTAATAAAATATTTGTTTACAAAGAACTTGCTAATTTGATTAACACATTTTATATACACAATTGATTAACATTAATATTATATACACTTTGCAAATTATATAAATTAGATACATCTGTAAAATTTGATAATAGGTTTAATTGTTTAGATAATCTGTTTAAAGTGTAGATGAAAAATTTTTTTCTCCAAAATATATTTTCCGTTTTACATTTAATTTGTTTACATCTTACATCGATATTGCCAGGCAATCTGATAACTTTAGATTAAAAATTCTCAATTCAGCAATTCGTTGTGACGAAGCAAGTTATTGTGTGTACAATACGTAATAAGAATGACAGTAATGATTGTGCTGACAAACAATTGTGTAATTACGGCTAACATACTTTTATGTTCGCAATTCGAATACGATTATTTGAATTATGTGAGGCTTCAAAAAACTGAAAATCGCATATTTTATGCCAAGTTGAAATAGAAAAAATAATGATTTGTTTATTAATTTGGAAAAGATATTTTATTATAATGTCTTAGGCCCACTTTACACGATCTATAATTCGCAACAGAATTCGAGACAGAATTCCATTTTAAAATTTTTATGTATCGTGTAATACAGAAAACATTTGAACAATCAGAATTATAATTATAATGCTCCAATTTTGTAAATAGAAAAGATGCATCAAATATGTGTAGTGCATGAAAATGCGTGATTGATTAATTGTATCTGGTCTAATGAAAAACATTAAGCATTAATTGCTGTGAGTATTTGTGTCCAATCGGCCGGGAAAACGGACCTCATCCATATGTAAACCTACACTAACCTAATCTACAAACATATGTCAATTTAATATATGAAATTATAAAATAGAATTCTATCTTGAATTCTGTCGCGAATTATAGATCGTATAAAGTGGGCTTTAGAATATAAAAAGTGTATAATTTTCACAAAATTGTCAATTTTAATTAATTACTATGTTAATCCTTTCAAACCTGATGTAATTATAAAGTTATAAAGTTATAATATATACATGTATCTTTCTTTATGAATTATTTTACTACAGCTACTGGGTCCATTACATTATCTTATACATATTGTTTCTCTTAAAATATGCAAATTTTTAATATTTTTTATTATGATTTGTAGCAAATTTTATATATTTATATATTTTCTAAAATAAAAATTGTTTTTTAATATAAAATTGTACCAAGCAAAAATCAGGTTTGAAAAGGTTGAGAATTTTCTTATTACAATTTTAAATTTCAATTAATTAAATTTATAGATTGTATTTACCTTAAATTGGAGAAATCTGCAGTTTTCACGTTTTTAGCAGTAGTAGCTTCTTTTGCACGGGCAATCACAAGTAAGATCAAAAGGCACGAAGTAATTTTCTCATACATATTGATCACTGTCATTTTTAATTGATGTTATCATGCTCCTTGACCATAAACATAAAATTTAACAATTTTCAATTGAGTAATTCTTAAGATAATTTAATAAATTACATTAATAATTATGTGACTGATAGTTGCATTGAATGAATTAATAAATATACTGTACTCAACTTTTAAAAATATACATTAAATACAATAGATTAAATAAAAGAATAAGTTACATATTAAGCAATAAATTAATTAATTCTATTAATTTAAATTTGAATTGAATATTGTATAAAAGACGTGTAAATGTTATATAATAAATATAAGGCAAAATTACTTTGTACTGACGTGTCCAAAAACGAACTGAACTCGATCATGATCAAAAATGCACTGAATTGTACTGTGATTCAATGATTGTATATATATCCTATCATCATATCGCGTTATGAAATTTAAGCCGTTAATCATGTCGCAACGGTATGTATCGTATATAGGTATGTATATGTGTGAACTTTTCATTCAATCAGTAGTGACCTGATTTTCTTAAGAATTGCTTGTACTTATAATATTCCTCTCAATTCTACGAATATGAATAACATTCTTGATTACAATATAATACAAGTGCATTTTCTTAAAAAAAATTACTTTTGCGGAATTACTCTTGAATCTAATCAATTGACTTACTGAATAGAAAACTTAAAATAATTTTTAGAAGGTTTAAAATGCAAAAGGATGCTTATAATGTATTTTCATTATTAAGAAAAATATTATTTATTGCCATTTAGTACATTCTTAATTTATATGTTTGCTGTTTCCCTGTTTTATTTAATTGTAATAAATAATACATATCTATTATAAAATTGAATGATATTGTACGCATTAATTGTGTGCAATATTATATAAAACAAATTTTTTTTCAGTTCTTAATAATATTCTATGAATACATGTAGTACATATGTATACATAATACTTATATATCTTTATATGTATAAAATATCTTTTTATTTTATTTCATAGTATTCTGATTAACATTAATAAACACGTATACAATTTTTGAACAATATAATTTTAAAGCTTATATGATGTATTTTAAAATTGTATAAATACATTTTACAAGTTATAGATTCACGTATACATATAACAGTTCTTACATGAAATTGTAACTTAGAAATATAAAAACATATAAATTTTTTCAAGATAATCAATTTAAAGTTTGAGAAATTATATAAATTTTCCACCTTTTATTTTCATCTGAAATCTTGTATATTACCAAAAACAATGCTGTGTAATTATAAATATAAATAATATATAATATGTATAATAATATAAGTAATATAAGTAATATAAATAATATATATGTATACGTATGCATAAATAATATGAAACATTATTATATGTAAATATTTATATTTAGAAATATCTTCATATATGTATATTATTGAATATATTATTCATATATATTTTAAGAATTTGAGTTATTATACAATAATATATGAAATAAAATTATATTTTTATTGCAAATTATACAAAATTTCTAAATATACAAGAAAGTTTTGAAAAAAATGCAAAAAAATCGTTTATATTCATAATTGCAGTATAGAAAGCATTGTCAGTAATTTCAGAAGTCCTATTTTTATGTTTATCTTCATCTGGCGCTAAAGTGAAATTTTTGTTGAAATTCTTCTCAAAACTATCGATAGATTCTTCTACAGATTTCATATCAGTTTGCAACTTTGAGGTTGTTTCTTGCAATAAGTTTTTGTTACTCTTTGAAATGTTATTTAATAGTATAATTTTATCTTTTTCTTCGGTTCTTGAAGAAGGAACTTCTTCATTATGCAAATTGTTCTTATTATGTGCTTTTATGAAATCTTCAAGAAGATCGTCACGATTTTGTTTGTTTGTTTGAGGTTGTAAATAATTTGTTTTTATATCATTAGTTTCTATTATATTTTCTAGTCCTTCTTCGTCAATATTGTCATTCAAATATCTCTTAGTGCGTTTATTTCCGAGAACTTCAGCCAGAATAGATTTGTTTGATTGTGTGTGCCCTGTAACCTTGTAAAAAAATATAAAAGGTATATCAAAATAAGATAGTATTAATAAAATATGAAAAAGAGAATATTACATTTATTAATATAAAATTATATAAAGTATAAAATAATAGAACAAGTAATTTAAAAATATTAATCAAAATAAGTTTTTTTTTTCAATTAATTTCTCTTCTTTACCTCTCGCTTTCCTTCAATTATGCCTTCATTGATCTTATTTTGTATTTGTCTATGCTGTCTTTTCTTTATGTTTCTCCAGGGAAACAATAAAAATATTTTACGTTTATTAGATCCTGTTTGGTGCTTTAATTTTAAATATTTATCGATTTCGTCACTTGTAATTTCATATTGTTCATCTGTTGCCGATTCAGCTTCATTGTCTTCCATAGAAACAGTTTGCTCATTTTCATACAAACTTTCTTCATCTGAAATATATTCACTTTGCTGATTTGAAAGATCATCATATTCACATTCCTCTGATGCTACGTCATCTAAGAATTTATTTATTGAATCTGATTTTTTTCCTAGTATATTTTGATCGTCCCGTTGTGCAGAAATGTCAAAACTTTCCAGCGAATCATCATTATTCATCGCATCTAACATCTCGTAAATATTTTTGATCTTAATCGGTACAAGAGCGATATAATCTGATTCACGTCCCTTCTCGTTGTCTTGATTAATTTTGAAATTTCTCGTCGAAGAAACTAACAAGTGATTCTTTAATTTTTGGAACAAGTCAGCACTTAATGGTGAATCTTCTTTTCTCAACGGAAAGATAGCGATTGGTTGATCATGAAATATCTTTCTGAAAGCCTCTTTCCGGTAGGTGCGTATACGGTTTCTTGCATCTTCAGTTAATCTAAAAATAGGAGAAGATATCACATTAATGCTAATGAAAATAAAAGTTAAAAATTCAGAATAAACTTTTAAATTAATTGTTAGTTTTTCAATAAATAAATAAGTAACAAATACATTACTGAAAGTATGGTATATACTCTGTATATTCGTCTGTTGGTTCTTCGATGTCTCTGCGAATCCGTATATTTTCTTTTCCAAGCTCTCTTGCTTTTAGATCGCCGTTAATAATTTGTTCAACATGTTTATCTACTTTGTTATCGTTAGACATTTTATTATTTAAATTCTCTTGCGATGTTTCTATTAATTCTTTATCGTTCTCGATTAGGTCTCGAATAAATTGAGAATATTTGTTATGCTCCGAATAATGTACTTTTTTTGCTTTTGCAAGTAAATATATTTGGTCTATAATATTCTTATATTGTTTAGGAGCAAGCTCGATAGGAATTAAATCATTTTCATCGTCATCTTTGTAGGTAATATCGTCGTTTAATAGAATTCCGATAAACGCTCCCTGATTGATCAATCGATGAAAATTGTCACTTTCGCGAAGTTTTTCCCATGCTTCTCTTCTCTTCATACTCCTCTTTTGTTCGTCACTAATTTTTGATAGTTCATTTTGATATTGATGCAACAATTTTTCCCGTCTTGCTTGCAGTTTCTCTTTTTGCTTACCAATCTGTTCTGCGCGTCTCGTCAGGTGTCCCTCGTATCTGGTGAATCTTTCTATCGATGTTCGAGGAAGATTTTTCAGCATAACCGTTAATCTACTCATGAAAGCATCTTTTCCCATCCGAGCATTTGATTCGCTGTCCTGATTATCTTCTATATTTTGAAATAATGTTGGATTCGTTTCGGATTTATTCAGTTTTGATTTATCAGTACCTGTATTTGTTGCCTGTTTTGACAAAATTGTTTCCGTTGTCTCTTGTTTGATTTCCTTTGATGTTTCTTTGGGGAAATTGATTGAGTTTAAACCAATTTTACAATTACTGTTGTGCCCTTCTTTGTTCTTCTGATCTTCGATTGTTGGATAGTTTGAACTCTCGGCTCTCTCCTTTTCGTTGATAAGATCTTGTTCTTTTTCGTAGGGTGTTTCCTGTGGGGCCTTAGTAACGGAGATAATAAATGTCTCACAATTGCTCTTATTTTGTGAAGGAATCTTAGAAATAATCTCGGAAGAATTAAACGTTTCTGTCTTGTTTTTTGCCTGGACGTCTGATGGTTGGGCACGAAAAAACATTTCTTTTGTAATATATTCATCGCCATTATCGTTATTTAGAGAAATCTCTGAGGTTGAGTCGATGGGAAGTAGATTGGTAGTAGATTCCTTCGCGTTCTGATATTGCTCAGAAACAGTGTCCTCTCCTGATATTGTAGTTGCATCAATCGCCTGCGACATATCGTTTAGTTTATGATCCAGTGTACTTGATTCTGTAATTATGGGTTCCATAGTTATATCATTTTCTTCAGAAATTGGCTCAATGATGCTTGTACTTGGAAGTATCTCCCCTGCTATAATTTCTTCGTATTTGTCTCCAGTAAGAATTGGAACATTCTCCTTATATTGTGCAACGTCTGTACTCACTCTGTCACTTTCTATAGAAGTATCTGTAACTCGTGCTGTAGGTACTAAAATATTGCGTTTCACACGACGATAGAGCTTCTTCGGCAAATCGGAAGTTCGGATGACCCTACAATGACAATCACTCGCATTTTCTTCGCCTTCCTTGATCATTTCTTCAGCGAAAACCTTTTGAAGCTTTTCCCAATTGCTTCGTTTATTTCTTTTGTTATGAAAAATTTTATCACGAATAGACGGTTCTACACTGGTGGGTTTAGAATATTGCGTTATTTTTGCGTTAACATCATCTGTAACTGTATTTATAACAAAACTTTTTTCGTCTTTCAATTCGACTTCATCGTGATTCATCATATTTGAAGTTTGATAATTATTATAATCGTATCTCGCAGTAGAAACTTGAAAAGGTAGATAAAAAGAATTTGAAATTTTTTTTTCTGGTTCCATCTTCAATTTCGATTCTCTAAGTTCTACATTTGACGTTTGATAATTGTTATTCGAAATTGGTGTTTTGGAAAGTTGATCGAAAGATATCGACGGGTACCTCGAAGCTAGTCGTAGTGCATTTCTACCATATTCCTGCTCTTTGGAATCATCGTAATAGTTAACTAACCGATTATGTTGCATGCTCGATTCTCTAGCACGCTTTTTCCTCTCTTGGTTAGGCGACTGTTCTTGAATAACCTTTGCAGCAGGAATTTTATTATTATTGTTATTCTTATTATCATTATGTTTTTCAAAAGAAAATTCTGCTTCCCATAGATCATCATACTTTTCAGAGATTTCTTTTGCTTTTATATTAAATAATTTCATATGTTCAAAAAATTCATTTGGCATGTCATTGTAGTGATCATCTTTAATTTCTTCAACCCAAATGTTGTCTTCAGTACGCTCTAACATCGATTTTTTATTTTGTTGCGTACTCTTTTTTTTATCATTACCAACGTCTTCAACTTCAACATAATCATAATCTTTTCCATTTTGCTCCAACGAATCTCCCGCAGTCATAAAAATGTCACCCTCAGGAAATCCTTTGACAGGATCTCGCTGAGAGAAGCCATAAAAGTCTTCATCACTCTCAGTAATTCTTGGATTGAATGGAATTAATAATTCTTCTCTTTTGATGTCATCATTCTGCTTTGTCTTCCTTTCATTTATATGATTGTTTAAGTCGTCGATTCTTGAACGTTTTCCGGAAGCATTATCTCTTCTCAGACGCATCTCGATTAAGTTTTCGTTAATATTCCTTTTCGTTCGTTTAGGCTCTTGTATTAAACTTTGATATTTTTCCATGTCGCCAATTTTAGAATGCTTCCTGTAGATATTGTCGTTTTCTATTTTTTTATGTTCTTGAGATGAATGTTGATGCTCGATATGATGGGCAGCATTATTTTTGAAAAAACTTTCGACATGATCTCGTTGAAATAGATTGTTATATTTCTTTTCATTATTATTACAATTCTTTTTTACGTTACAAGAAATTAAGTCTTTCCCATCGTTGTCTTTCCGTTTTATCTTCTGTTTAACTAGATGATTTTTTAAGTTATCTATTTGTGAGCGGTTTTGAAATGTTCTCTTTTTAGAATTTTTCGATTTTTTGTCCAGACATCTTCTAAATCTCTTTCCCTTTGTTAAATCTTCACGAATAGAAACTTGACTATCCTTATTGTTCTTTGCTGAATTATTATTTTCTAACAAATTATAAAGCTTATTGAAGTACGTTCCTATTCTTTTTATTATATGTGACTTTGTTTCATCGGAGTTTTCTAATTCAATTAAATATTCTCTTAATTTTTTATCTATTTTAATTATTGATTCTTCTTCATTTTTGGTTTTGCCTTTGATTTCGTTTGAAGTAACTTTATCAAAAAGAGAGGCATTGATTTTTGATATTAACGCCACAGTGTTGTCAATATTTTTAATTTCGGATTCTTGAATACCTTTGGTTTCCATTTCAAGCTTTTTCTCCAGCAGAATGCGTCTATACTTTTTTAATATATCTTGAATACTTTTATTATCAACTTCTGTATTTTTAAGATCTTTTTCGTCCAAATTTTGCTGTTCTTCTACTTCTTTAGATGAATTTCCTTGTTCGTCTCCTAAATCGATTGTGAATGATCTTTGTAAATTTGTAAAATTATTCTTCTTTTGCAGATATTTTTGTATAAATCTTGTTACTGTTGCAAGTAACTTAGAACCCCAGGCTTTTTGTTGACTTTTAGTTACAGTGTTTTCCACGTTTCCTTGAGAATTTCTGTCTCGTTTCCCATAAATCTTTTGATTTTTTAAATTTGATTGATTTATATTTTCTTTTATATCATTTTCCTTTACATTTGACTGATTCATATCTTCTTCTATTTCTTCTTGATCTGCTTGTCGGATGTCATGGCGCTTCGATAATTTCTTTACTCTATTGTCCTCGTTTGTTTCCTCGTCAGAACAAATGCAAGCTTTTACCTGTTAAATTAATATTTTTTAAATTATCAATATATTATTATTAATTAGATATATATACATATATACACAAGCAAAATAATTTTAATTTACCTTTGCATTAGGTATAACCCAAAAACCTATGTCACCAGAAGAAAGTTCTAATTCAAGGCCGTCAGGGTTGATAATGATTTCTGGATTTATATCAGGCAATTCTTTGTCGTTTATTAAGTGAAGAGATTTATTATTTAACAAGACTTGCCTGAAAAATTGTGATTTTTATAATTTAGTGAGATAAAATTATTACTATAGTACATCAGTAATGAATAGAAACAAACATTGTACTGTGAACTTTATTACTACAAAATATATATATCAGAGAAAAACATTTCTATGTATATTTTGTATATTGTAGCAATATATTGAATAAAGTATTATGTAGCAGGAGTTTTAATATTGTGAAAAGTGGAATAAATACTTTTCTTTACAATATGTATACGTATTACAAAATTACTTACTCTGAAAACATTTTGTTGCCATTCTCAAAATCTGATGATAAAATGTACTCGTGAAGAATTTTGATTTTGAGACCTTTTAAACTAACAATTACTTTCCTCGACGTTAAGTTTATGCCGAAAATCGTAATAGCTCCTTTACTGTATAGCACCGAGGATTTTGTACATTGGCTGTAAAAGTGTACGTGACCTTTGTTTTCGGATTGAAGCTTCATTTCCAGAACTTCACGGCCCACTAAAGTCTTGTGCAATAATGATACCCAATAAACCTGATAAAAAAGAGACAATATTGTTAATAAAGTATAATCTTATAATTTGATTTATATATACATTTATACCAATTAACAGATGAACAATTTAATAAATTAAATACGTTTTTTAATATTTCCATATTATATTGTAGATATCTCTTTTATAATATGTCTTAAATATACACGTGACAACTAATTAAAATTTAACTTGTATATTCATTTACAAATAAGTAACTTACAGGAGTTGCTTGAGATAAGTTCGACAATTGTCTCATCACGACTTGGATTCCAAGCTTTGCAGCTTTCCCAAGTCTTTTCGTCCAAATAAGCGCTCCTAGATATTGGCGTTTGCTGTCTTCTGGTTTCGATTGCGCTATATAGCAATATATGCAATCGTCAATATTACAAGTCAATTAATTCTTAATTTAATGAAATTGTTCCAAACATTGTTACTTTACTCATAATTTCATAATATTCTTACCAATCCATAACGGTTTTTCTTCTGCCGCACGACTAATAATTTTGTATATCTCATCCTTTCCGGTAATCATGTTATCATAATGTAGGAAACTTTTGTCATTGTTTAAAGAAACGCTACATAAATCGTTAAAATTATTGACAAACAATTGAAAAATTTAATCAGCAGACAATAATCAAATGATATTAAATAAGTAACATTTACACACACAAAAATAAAACACTTACGGGTGCCATGTAATCGCAGAAAGCGCGGCATTTGCTGAATGCAAATAATCCTCGAGATATCTCTGTTGTTGTGCTGTTCTGTATGCTACAATATCTGGTCCTATGATTAAGCTACTGGAATATCTTGGGAAAGTTTTCAGTATTTCTTGTAAGTTTGCGACATATCGTCCCAGTTGTCCGCCAGATAAGTCGCATCTCGTTTGACATTCTATAGCAAAAACATTTTGAAGCGACTCAAAATTAAGTATCTTATAAATATAAATAAAATATGAATGTATCTTTTAATATAATTTAACATTAAATATATATATGTATAACAAATGAGATTAATTAAATAAAAAATTGATATCTAAAATTACACGAAATTTTATATTTGTTCCAAAACATTTAAAAAATAATAATGTCTTAAAAGTACATATATATACATATATACGTGTTTTAGATATTTGATATTTTATTTTTTATTTAATTAATCTCATTTGTGTTATGGTTTAAAAAAGGCATAGCTTTTGGAAAGTTTACCATAGCCCAGTTGCCAGCTAATGTTGTAACCCATGCGATCACTAAAGGACAGAAGCTCCGCTATGTTTCTAGGATCCTTGGAATCTGTTTTCGATTCGTTATCAATATAATCAGGACTGATGGATACGATTATATCTAATCCAGCATTCGTTGCCCATTGATATATAAATTTCCATTGTGTTCCTGTCAAATCCAGATGCACATATTTTATGTTTTGATGTGATAAATATATTTACCCAATAGTGAATTGGTTAATTTTTATAATTAATTGATTAAATAAATAAATTAAAAATGTATGAATTAATTAAACCATAAATAGTTTTGTAATTGTAATGAATTAATATTGAATCAAATAATGCCAATTCTGCTTTCTGTAGGTACATATTCGTATTATATTTCAGATATCAGATATCATTGTACCTGTACATATCTCCTTAATCTGAATAAATAAAATGATTCGACAGCTGATTCGCAGGTAGCAAATGCAATAATCTAAATATTGCATCAGCGAATATTAGCGTTTTCGCAACTCGTAACCGTACTATTATCTCAAAGCTTGTACCGACGTTATAACATTCAGTAGGCGTTTCTGCCATCAAAGCTAATGGATGCGCATATAACTACTGGTAACCGCAAAATAAATTAACTACATTAACATTATGCAATTCCATCATCGTCCTCTTCCATTGGCGTCCTTGCTATCCTTTCAATGCACTCATAGTGGTCAGGTCCGTTAAACGATCACGGAACTAGGAAATTGCCATATGAGTGCCACGCACATTACCAGTATAAAGACACACTTGGTTTATATTTAAGTTAAAAGTTTTAAGAAGTCCAGTTTATTGTTTACACTTTAAAAATATATTATTTTTTTCCAAAAATTCTTGGATTTTATCTGAGATCTACGAGAGAGAAAGAAAGAGAGAGAGAGAGAGAGAGAGAGAGAGAGAGAGAGAGAGAGAGAGAGAGAAATCTTTAATGTCTTATTACCAAAATACATGTCATTTGGATCCATATCGATTTCATGTGAATACGTTTTTTCCAAATTGTAAAAATTGCTTTGTGGTCCTCCAAGACGAATGTAAGCAGGTGCCAAGCCTCGCGCTAAATTCGTGCTTCTCTCGATGTTCTTACTGAACAATACGAATTGTAATAGTGTATTACATAATCAGATATTATGATGTAAAGAAAGGAATTTTTTATTGTTTAAATTAAAAAGAGGTAGGTTTTAATAAAACTCAAGATTGATGATTATAATTACGTTAATATAGCGGTGAAAATAACTGGTACACGAATTATTTCAAGTTCTAAACACACAATTGATGTTGATAATGACAAAATTATGATTTTAATAATAATATTTTTAATAATCATTAAAACGTCTGTGATTGAAATCTTTGGTAAGATTAAAATATCTAATGAAAATTATAATTTCTAATGAAACCTGCATAAAACTTTGACAAACGACAAACTAAACTATTATTAATTGTTATTAATACATATATTAATTAAAAACGGCAAAGTTATCTTTAATGCTTTATTTAATATTTATAAATTATCTTTTTCACTTTTTAAATACTTACATAAAATCATTGTGCTGCAACGTTGCAGGATCCAGTGTAAAACTGAGAAAGGCGTGATCAGTTACCGCAATCGGTTTTTTCAGATTTATATTAAGTATCAAATTTTCCGCGAGGCAATTCACGACAAAGAAAGTTACTTGCAAAAGCAAGCAAACACATTGACATTTCATTTTTCCAGAAATATTTTGCTTGTCTGCTTTTTACAGTTTATTCTCTGTCTTCATTTTAGTTTATATACATGTAAATATTAATTCCAAATAATGGAAAATGTTCTACGTTTTACACATACATATTTTTACACGAGAAAAATTTATGATATAATTACAAAAAGGAATCGACGTATTTAATTCCGACAATGTAGGAAATTATATAGAAATATAAAATAAAGCGTGAAAAATTTAGTGTAATGCTTGTAAAAAAATTCACGACACGCATAAAAAATCGACACGGCAATCTGAGAGACTTTTTCACGCGTACTGAAATTTCGCATTCACTAAAGTTGCATGCATGGTTCTGACATCGTGTCACAATCACAATTGCTCAACACATATTTCGTACTTGGAATTTCGTTGCATAAACAGAACCAATAATGCGCACATATAGCAAAAACGCTCGGTTATGTTTTGATATGATTCTTAAATTTGCGAGATATCTTCATCAATTTAGTTTAATTAACACGTTATTATTTAAAATTTGACAAAAATCGCTATCATTGCACTTATTTGAATCTCAAATGTTCAAGAGTACAAATTTTTTTGCCAGAAATTGCAAATATAATTTCAGTAATTCAATAAATATTTAACTTACGTTAACGAATAGTTATTCTTACTCACTAGTAAAGAAAAGCACAAATAATAGTCCAAGTGCCATTTTGGTCGTGTAATTGGTAACTATAAATGTTGCAAAAGTAAAATGCTACAAAAGTTAAAAGTTAAACAAGAAACGTTAAATGTTAAATGTTTCAATTCTGTTGGGAATCTCACAACGGCTCGCTAAAGAATACAGTAAAACGGTTCCATGGAAGAACTTAAATTTTCGTAAATAGGATTTTGTCAGGGAAGTATTGAGTGTGATTGACAAGAAAGTAAAATACTTGGTTATTTTTGCTTTTTATTAATTTTCAACAAATATCTCGGATTAAGTCATCGCTAGAAAAAAACAAACACAAATTTTACTCGAGCAGTAAGCGTCTCCTCTACTGGAATACATTTTCATCGAGACACCCTGTATATCCTGCGAGAGTGTATACTTATGAGGGTGAATGTTGGGTGGTCACTTAATTTCTAAGGTTTTTTTTATATAATATATATAATATATATATATCTAACAACAATATAATATTATCATCATTCGCCTCTTTCTCTTTCTTTTTTTTTACTTTGTTAATGTTACATAATACATTATTATATTCAACAATAACTCGTTTGTATCATTCCTTTATCGATTAAGTTAGCCTCTACGCACTGCTACTTTATACAAGGGTTTTATTCCTCCGCCATACATTGTCATTTTTGCTTTACTTCCTTTGTTCACGCGAGCTTCCTGTTCTTTCTTCAGCGTTCTCTTTTTCGTCTGCCGCAAAATAGTCCTCCGATTCGAGGATTCCGGTATCCCAGCTTTACGTAAAGCGAAGAATATATGCAAATCTTCAACAAATCATAAAGCAAATAAATTATCTGACAATTAAATCCGTTTAGATGACACTTATTCATATTTTAATAGTATAACTTATTTTCACCCAAATTAATAATACGTCTTTTAAAATAGAACTTTTTCTGCATCTGTACATTATTTCAGCTATGTATTGACTATTAAAGCAACTCTTTGATGGAAACGCTGTTGAAAATAAAGAAAAAAATTAATAAGAATCTTGCCGTGTAATGTACGTATTCTGTCAGCTTAGAAAAAGTAATGCATCTACAAACTTAATTGTCAGATTAAATGCAAAATTGAACAAACTCTAGCAAAAATATAGATAAATTCAATATTTACAGTTTCTTAACATGAAATTCAATGTTGTAAATTAAGAACACAAAATCTTTATCAATTAAAATTTAAATTGTGTGAGTAGCCAAGATTCACATATTTCTTAATATATATTCGATTTTTTATTTTCCAAAATTAATAGCCATTACTAGGACGAAAATATAAAGGAAATATCCTAAATTTAGCAAAGCACGAACTTATGAATCGAAGAGTTTGGTCATAAGAGTTTCAAGAGTCCAGACAATCTTCAGATCATTCGCGACCTTCCATTCATTTTCCGAGCAAGCTTCGTGCGATTCTCGTTCATTCCTCCTCACTTCCACATACAGAGTTGTTAAATTCTGCAAACAATTTTATTCTAAATCGTTCTTAGTTTAAGGACATCTCTTCGCAGATATCTGCCCATAAAAGAAAAATAAGCTCAGATCTTTCTTCAAGTTATCATAGATTTCTTAGATTAGATTAGATTAAAATCCAAGCTTAATTCTTTTACCTTTGTCTTTATATCTTCCAACTGTTCCCTCTAATACGATACGTTCTGAGATGTTTAACTTTATTTTATAAAGATGTTTCAGATCTGCGAAAAGTTATCATAAAAGTTTTCAAATTTTTCGCTGTTAATCCTAGAACCCTAATTGTTTTCGATAATAACAAACATAAATGTCTCAATATTATTTTGTGTTGTACATATTGCGTGTTAAAATATTTATTAAGGCTAAATTATAATTGAAACAATATGTTTTCGATCAAATGTTCTATTATTTTGTATGTGAATTCAAGTTAATAATATTTTATTAAGGTTCCAGGATTGAATTGATCGTACTTTACTTAAGTACTCGTTCGATAATAGTAATTGTAGGCATCAATAGTATTGCTTCTTGGTTTAACGAAATCACGAAGAGTCTGGTCCGCAACAATATCGAACGTACGCTATCGTCAAGAACAAATATGACAATTATTAATATAAAACAAGACAGAAAGTTTTATATAAATTGTCGAAAAATTTTCATATCTTTTTCAATCTATTGGATTATTATAAATTTATTTTTTAACGTGTTTTTCGTGGAGAGAAAAAAGTTAAATTTAATTTCGAGAATTAAAATAAAAAGAATATAAAAGTGAAATCTTTTCGTCATTATTTCTCGTTACTATTAATATCCACTTTTCACATCAATTAAGTTTTTTTATTAAATAATTTTTTTCAATTTTTAACTCTATGTATGACAATTTGTTTACTGATTTATGTAGTATTCCAATAGATTAATATAAGATATAATAATGCTTATGTTAAGACATTAAAACATTAGTTCAAACAATTCAAAGTAATTTACATAATCCTTAAATATTTGAATTAACATGGAAAATTCAAATATTTATACAATATTAGCGTTTATTATGAGACTTTGGTACTAATCCCACGCACTTGGAGAAAACAACAATATTAGTATCAACGTAAATTTCAAAATAATACAAAATAATATTACAAAGATCAACAATACAAAAGTGTTCAATCAATGCCATTTTCACCCGCGCGTAGATTCTGTCGTTAATATTCAATTAATGTTTTCTTTATTAAGAATCTCTAAGTTCTAACGTAATTTTCTTTTTATAAACCAAAGTCCAATTAATTTTGAAAATTTAATTTTGGTAACTAGTTATTATCAAATAACATTTGTTTCTTTAGAAAATTTGCTAGACAGTTTCACCTAGAATTGAAAAGGTTGTGAAAAAAGTCGTTAAATTTTCAATCCATTTAAAATTGATTGAAGAATCTGTAAATAAAAAAAAACACGTTTGATGTTGAACGCCTTGTATATAATTCTTGCGACAGCGATAATAACGGTAACTCCTTCCCACAAACATCGCACAAGTTCGCTCGGACTGTTGGTATAACGAATCATTGCTAACTCGAATGGCAGTCGAAAATGCGGAGTCTTTTTAACGTTCTTTCTTTCGTAATTCATTCACAATCGACAAGGTTCTCTTTCTCTCTCTCTTTCACTCTCCCTCTCTTTCTCTCTCCCTCTCTCTCTCTCTCTCGTTTCCATGAATATTCCCTCATCACTCTCTTGTGTATAAAGCTAAAGTCTACCTACTTAACCACATATGGTTTGTTAACTTCTTTTCTTAATAATGTATCTTGCTTAACGCCTAACTTCTCTAACCATAGTTATCCTCGAACTATCACGTTCTTTTTGTAAATGCTCCCGAAAGAAAATCAAAGACAACGATCCTCGCTCAAATGTTGAAAAATAGCTTTTAAGCTACAAGTAACGATAAGAAATGGCCATGTGAACATGCTCGACACAAATCATCTGTACGTCGACTCGAGTCATTTGTAAGTCGAAATATATCGAATTCACAAGACACTCGGACATCTATTATTGTTCTCATTTGATTCATTCCAGAATTATTTTTTAAAGAAAACGCGGCAATTCGAGGACAACTTGTACGCAATAATCATCATCGTCATCACTTTTCGCGATGTGAGCGATCGTAATAGTAATCGATTAACGTTAAGTTATCATTATTACTTTATAATGCGTTGTGTCGTTGTCTCTGAATAGCCAAGTCGGTATTCGCGGATTTCCCAGTGTTCCTCGAAATCGCGCGTTAATCATCGATTTAAATAATGATCGTTTTACAAATAATATTCCCCAACAAGGATTAATATTTAACTCGATTGCAGAAAGAAAGCTAAACCTTTTAAGAAAATAGAATTTAGAAACTGAGGAATTCTCGAGTCCAAGAATTCAAGGATCTATATGAATCCTAGGATGACGCGAATATCTAATAGTTCAACAATCTACACTTCCAAAGGTGTAAGAATTCACAGACCCAAGAATTCACAAATTAATGTTACCTACGAGGATCTACGTATTTAAACATCTACAATTCTTGTTAGATTTGACCTAAGGCTTCCTCTGTAATCTAAAGGACACACCTAGGAACTTTTTCGTGAATACAAACGTCTCGAGGAAGTGAGAAACCCGCCCGTATTGTAATTTTTCTTTTTTATCGTATTCGCTCTCGGTTGCGGTTTTACGATAAAACCATCATTGTAAAAACGATAACGAGTTAAGATGTAGGTCGCGATGTCCCTAGAAATTTTTATGTACATGGAAAAAACATAACATCTGCCGCCTTGATCCTCAAAATTTTCGGCGCTATTTGGGCTTAACGA